CTTCACTGATTCTTCACCAATTCTTCACTGATTCTTCACCAATTCTTAATCAATTCTTCACCTATTCTTCACCAGCTCTTCATCAACTCTTCATCAACTCTTCCCTGATTCTTCACCAATTCTTAATCAATTCTTCACCTATTCTTCACCAGCTCTTCATCAACTCTTCATCAACTCTTCCCTGATTCTTCACCAATTCTTAATCAATTCTTCACCTATTCTTCACCAGCTCTTCATCAACTCTTCATCAACTCTTCCCTGATTCTTCACCAATTCTTCACTGATTCTTCACTGATTTTCACCAATTCTTCACTGATTTTCACCAACTCTTCTTTTTTCCCACCAGTTCAGCAAGCTCTGGAGGTGCCTCGTGGAGCCAGGAGCTGGGATGGGACAACAACAGGGAATGAATCCTGCAGGAAAATCCTGCCTGGCTATCAGCAGAGTGGAGCATAAATCACACATAAATCACTAAAAAAATCATAGATAAATCACACATAAATCAAAAATAAATCACACACATATCACAGATAAACCACATGTAAATCACACATACATCACATACAAATCACTCATAAATTACATATAAATCAAAAATAAATTTCACTGATTTTCACCGATTCTTCTTTTTTCCCACCAGTTCAGCAAGCTCTGGAGGTGCCTCGTGGAGCCAGGAGCTGGGATGGGACAACAACAGGGAATGAATCCTGCAGGAAAATCCTGCCTGGCTATCAGCAGAGTGGAGCATAAATCACACATAAATCACTAAAAAAATCATAGATAAATCACACATAAATCAAAAATAAATCACACACATATCACAGATAAACCACATGTAAATCACACATACATCACATGCAAATCACTCACAAATTACATATAAATAAAAAATAAATAAAAAAACCACACATAAATCACAGATAAATCACACACAAGTCACACAAAAACCACACATAAATCACACCCAATTCACACAAAAATCACGCAAAAATCACACATAAATCACACATAAACCCATCCCTACCCCATCACCCGACCCCACAGAGTTTCCACAAGGAAATTCCATGCTGGAGGGTGACAGCTAACTCAGGGCAGCATCCCCAGTGTGCCCCACACAGATAAATCACACACAAGTCACACAAAAACCACAGATAAATCACACACAAGTCACACAAAAACCACACATAAATCACACCCAAATCACACAAAAATCACGCAAAAATCACACATAAACCCATCTCTACCCCATCACCCGACCCCACAGAGTTTCCACAAGGAAATTCCATGCTGGAGGGTGACAGCTAACTCAGGGCAGCATCCCCAGTGTGCCCCACTCTGCAGGATCAGCTGAGAGAAGGGGCCCTTTCAGACACTCCCAGATTATTCTTTCCTTAATCACTTAAAAAGTCTCTCTTTTTTTTTTCCCCTTAAAAAGTCTCTTCTTTAATCACTTCCATCCATCCTAACCAGCAGAGCTGGAAGCAATCACCAGTGCCCAGTTAGAGAGGGGAGGGAGAACAGGGAAAACTTCTCTGAATTCACTCAGATTTCAGTGAAGCGACGGAGCGAGCGCGAGGAACCGTCCAGGACATGTCAGTGTGAGTTTATTACCATGTTATATTGCCATGCAGATCCTGCCAAATTAGCTGGAGAGTTTTCCACAGAAAATGAAGCACTTGGAGCATTCAAGTGCCCGGGATGAGCTGGGGAGCAGCAGATCCTCTCCTGGTATGTGCAGCGGGTTCCAGCTTCCTTTCCCCTGGCCTCCCTCAGAGCAGGAATGGAGCATCCTTCCAATAAATTCTCTGTTGTCCTTGGCTCTGGAAGATGATCTTCCTGATCTCAGCTCAGCTTGACAGATGGTTTGTGTTTGCAGCACCCCCAGCTGAGTGTTCCAACAGCTGATAACCACTGAGACATCTTCCTGTGCTTCACCTGGGCCAGCCAGGGACAGGGAAGCACAAATAATAAACACGGAGCTGACCAAAGGAAATGTGGTTTTGTGTCTCCTGAGGGGCCTCTGAGCATGGAGATCTTGCAGGGGAATTAAATACACACGTAGCTGAACTTAAAAAAAAATAAAAAAACAACAGTGAAAATGAATTTCTTTCTGTCCTCCCTGCAGTGCTGGTGTGGGAGCTGCCAGGACAAAGCTCTGCCTGTGGGAATGGAGAGGAGGCAGAGCCAGGGATCCCCCACATCCGTGGGCACAGTCCCTGCCTGGCCCTGCAGGCTGGCACAGCTGCCTCAGGAGCTGATCCAAGGCTCAGCAGATGGCTCTGTTCTAGTTCTATTTATCCAAAATATCTCTACAGGAAATTTAGGATGAAACCAGCTTCACCTGAGAGCCCCAGCACTGCTGGGAATGCTCGGCTGGGGCTCTGCCCTTGCCTGGACACCCTGAGCTCCAGCCTGGGCTGTCTGCTCTGCTGCAGGGAAATTCATTTCCCCTTTGTTATTAAAATACTCTGAGAAGTAAAATACCAACTGAAATACAATTTTGCTTTATTGGGGAGGCTGTAGCAAATAACTCTGGGTTTCTTTGCAGGGTTCATTACAATACTGCAGCCCTGCCAGGCTGAAGGATGTTTTCCTTTTAAAAGCAGTTGGATTGAACAACAGGTGAGCAAAAGGAGCAGCAGCTCATATCAAATATCTGTACCCAGTGAGCAGACACTGCCCTCAGGCAAAACCTTGTTATCCTCTAGCAGGATCTCCTTGCCTGGAACAGAACTCTCTTGTTTTTCTTCAGTCTTGTCAGAAAATGTCATCTCGTTTTCCTCCCTTTTTTTTTCCCCCTCCAGTTCACTTCCCCCTGTAGTCACCCCTGGTTATTCCTCTGGGTGGTATCAGAGCAAACAGCAGGAAAAAATCAAACAGAAAATTGATTTAAAATAAAAAAAAAAAATTAAAAAATATCCTCAGAAAGAGAGCAAAGATTCCATTTTACCTCACAGTGCTACCAAGTGGAGAACAAGAGGTGGTTCTGCTGCAGGCAGGGTTTGAGACACAACAAACTCCTCCAGGGGGGGATTGGCCACAAACTTTATTTCTACAGAAAACTGGGAACGGCTCTAAAGGGGACAAAGGGGACAGCAGACAGTGATGAGCAGGAACAACAACAATAAACACCAAAAACAACACCAGAGAGGGTTTGGAAGGATGAAGCTGCCCTGGATTTTTGGGATAAACCACAGGGGGATTTGGAGGGATGAAGCTGCCCTGGGATTTTTGGGATAAAGCACAGGGTGGTTACCTTGATTTGGAACGATGAAGTTGCCCTGCCCTCCCCACACCTGTCCCACACTGTGTTTTCAATCCATTGCAGATTTTGGGGATAAACCAGAGGGTGCTTTGGAAGGATGAAGGTGCCCTGGGATTTTTGGGATAAACCACAGGAGGATTTAGAAGGATGAAGCTGCTCTGAGACTTTTGGGATAAACCAGAGGGTGCTTTGGAAGGATGAAGGTGCCCTGGGATTTTTGGGATAAAGCACAGGGTGGTTACCTTGATTTGGAACGATGAAGTTGCCCTGCCCTCCCCCCACCTGTCCCACACTGTGTTTTCAATCCATTGCAGATTTTGGGGATAAACCAGAGGGTGCTTTGGAAGGATGAAGGTGCCCTGGGATTTTTGGGATAAAGCACAGGGTGGTTACCTTGATTTGGAACGATGAAGTTGCCCTGCCCTCCCCCCACCTGTCCCACACTGTGTTTTCAATCCATTGCAGATTTTGGGGATAAACCAGAGGGTGCTTTGGAAGGATGAAGGTGCCCTGGGATTTTTGGGATAAAGCACAGGGTGGTTACCTTGATTTGGAACGATGAAGTTGCCCTGCCCTCCCCCCACCTGTCCCACACTGTGTTTTCAATCCATTGCAGATTTTGGGGATAAACCAGAGGGTGCTTTGGAAGGATGAAGGTGCCCTGGGATTTTTGGGATAAAGCACAGGGTGGTTACCTTGATTTGGAACGATGAAGTTGCCCTGCCCTCCCCCCACCTGTCCCACACTGTGTTTTCAATCCATTGCAGATTTTGGGGATAAACCAGAGGGTGCTTTGGAAGGATGAAGGTGCCCTGGGATTTTTGGGATAAAGCACAGGGTGGTTACCTTGATTTGGAACGATGAAGTTGCCCTGCCCTCCCCCCACCTGTCCCACACTGTGTTTTCAATCCATTGCAGATTTTGGGGATAAACCAGAGGGTGCTTTGGAAGGATGAAGGTGCCCTGGGATTTTTGGGATAAAGCACAGGGTGGTTACCTTGATTTGGAACGATGAAGTTGCCCTGCCCTCCCCCCACCTGTCCCACACTGTGTTTTCAATCCATTGCAGATTTTGGGGATAAACCAGAGGGTGCTTTGGAAGGATGAAGGTGCCCTGGGATTTTTGGGATAAAGCACAGGGTGGTTACCTTGATTTGGAACGATGAAGTTGCCCTGCCCTCCCCCCACCTGTCCCACACTGTGTTTTCAATCCATTGCAGATTTTGGGGATAAACCAGAGGGTGCTTTGGAAGGATGAAGCTGCCCTGGGATTTTTGGGATAAACCAGAGGAGAATTTGGAAGGATGAAGGTGCCCTGGGATTTTTGGGATAAACCACAGGAGGATTTAGAAGGATGAAGCTGCTCTGAGACTTTTGGGATAAACCAGAGGGTGCTTTGGAAGGATGAAGCTGCCCTGGGATTTTTGGGATAAAGTACAGGAGGATTTGGAAGGATGAAGCTGCCCTGGGATTTTTGGGATAAACCACAGGAGGATTTGGAAGGATGAAGCTGCCCTGGGATTTTTGGGATAAACCACAGGAGGATTTGGAAGGATGAAGCTGCCCTGGGATTTTTGGGATAAACCACAGGGGGATTTGGAAGGATGAAGCTGCCCTGCCCTCCCCACACCTGTCCCACGCTGTGTCTCCACTCCATGCAGATTTTTGGGATAATGCACAGGGTGACCTGTCAGAGCAGAGGCAGCTCCCCAGGGAGGGCTGAGGACGAGGATGAGGCACAGGGAGGGGACACTGCCGCAGCTGCAGGGTCACACCCAGGCCTTGAGCTGGCTGCTGCAGCCCCTGGCACAGCACGGAGCCCCCTCCCCAGGGCGGCACCAGCGGCCCCCCTTGTACAGGGCCAGGCTGTAGGGCTGGAAGCACACCAGGAGCTGCAGGCGCCGTGCCAGGCTGCAGTAAATGGCCATGGCCACCACCAGCAGCGGGGACATGATGACAAAGCCCAGGATGATGAGGGCAGAGGAGCTGTTGTCGTCCAGGATGCTCTTGCAGTAGCGGGCAGAGGAGTGCAGCACCTGTGGGGGGAGAGAGAGGCACAGCCAGGATCATTCAGCTGGAAAAGAGTGACCTTGTCACTTCCTATAACTCGAGAGAGGCACAGCCAGGATCATTCAGCTGGAAGAGTGACCTTGTCACTCTCTATAACTCCTGAAAGGTGCCTGTGGCCAGCTGGGGTTGGGCTCTTTCTCCAGGAACTGACAGAACCAGAGGACACAGCCTTAAGTTCCACCAAGGAAAATATAGGTTGGATATTAGGGAAAAGTTTTTTATACAAATGGTGATAAAGTTTTTTACAGGAAAGGTGATAAAGTGACCTTATCACTCTCTACACTCCCTAAAGGTGGCTGTGCTCAAGTGGAGTTGGGCTTTTCCTCCAGGAACTGACAGAACCAGAGGACACAGCCTTAAGCTGCACCAAGGGAAATACAGGTGGGATATTGGGAAGAAGTTTTTTATGGAAAGGGTGATGAAGTTCTGGAATGGCTGCCCAGTCACCATCCCTGGTGTGTTTAACAAAGCCTGGATGTGGCACTGGGTGCCAGGGTTTAGCTGAGGTCTTGGGGCTGGGTTGGACTCCATGGTCTTAAAGGTCTCTTCCAACTCAGTAGTTCTGTGAATTCTGTGAATTCTGTGAATTCTGTGAAAAGTCCCACATGAACCCACTCTGCCAGGGCCTCCTCTGTCATGTGGCCTGGTGCTGACAGCAGTGGCCAAAACACCCCTGAGTTTCCAACGTTTTCATGGAAAAAGAAAACATTTTCTTTTGCTCCCTCTCTCAGAGCTGAGCGATCTTCAGGTTCAGTCTGGGACTGATATCACATCTTAATCAAGCTTTCAATTATCCCAGCCTCCCTGTGAGAGAAGAGCACTGCACACTGCTCCTGGAGCAGGCAGCACTCATCTTTATTCAATCATCCAACAGCATTTGATGGGCACAAACCAAATTAAAAAACCTTCTGGTGCTACATTGGTGTGGGTGGCATAACACTGGGAATAAAAAAAAAAATTAAAATTATATATAAAAAAGTATTTTAAATTCATATTAAATATATAAATTTATATTTTCTATAAATAAAAAATAAATATACAGAAATCTGTTAGCTTCTGCAGACAGAGGTCAATCATTCCATGGCTCTCCAGACCCCTTTGTGATCTGCTCTCTGTACACTCATTTCTGCCTGAAAAACCTGCCAGGAAACACTCATCTTTATTCAATCATCCAACAGCATTTGATAGGCACAAACCAAATCCAAAAATCCTCCTTGTGCTACATTGGTGTGGGTGGCACAGCGTTGGGGGTAACAATAAATAAATAAAATTATATATATATATAATTTATAAATATACATAGTATATATTTATATTATAGCTATTTATGTAAATAAATATAAATATTAAATATATAAATTTATACATAAAAATTAAAATACAGAAATCTGTTATCTTCTGCAGAGGTCAATCATTCCATGGCTCTCCAGACCCCTTTGTGTTCTCTGCTCTCTGTGTACACTCATTTCTGCCTGAAAAACCTGCCAGAAAGGACCATTTGCAAAGAAACCCTCTCTGGGCCTGGCTGAGTGGTGTTTCCAGCCCTCCTTCCACGCTGGCAGCAGCAGGGCTGAGCTGAGCACTCGCTTGTTCTGCACTCCAAATGCTGCAGGCAGCCCCTGTGTCCCCAGACTTTATTCTGTTCTCCTTTCAGCACAAGGCATCAAGCTAAAAACCAACAATAAATCCATCTAATGGAGCTGCAGGGCAGAAATCAGCCTCTGGCTGCTGGGCAGGCTCTGAAAAGTCGTGGCCCAAAGACAGGGTGAAGCCACAATCCTTTGCTGTGATTGCATTAAAGGAAAGGTTGAGTTTAAAAAACTCCTCACAGCTCCCAGCAGCTCGGGGGTTTTCACTTCTGGTCCACTTGGCTGCACTCAAAAACATTCTGCATCTCCTCAAAGCCTTTGTGTGAGTGTGCAAAGGAGAACTTGAGGTTTTCCAAGGTGAGGGAAGCTGGAAGGGGCACTTCTGGGAGGTTTTTTCCCATTTTCAGTCCAATTTGTTTATGACTTATGAAAAAGGCACATTGGGCTATAAGGAAAACAGGGAACTGCTTTTGCACATCCACCCTTGATCAAGTGATCCCAAAAATGTTTAAAGGAATATACCAAGAAGGGATTTGTAAATAAGGAAATGATGCAATGCAGAGGGCAGCAAGCAGAGACAAAGGAGACAAAGGAGCTCATTTTTGGTGTGAGGAATGCACAGGATGTTTGGGAGCAGGATTGTTAGATTGGCATGAGAAGGGGATTGGATATTCTGTCAGATTTTACTGATCATTAGGCAGGTCCTAATGAATCTTAAACTTGCTTAAACAGAAAGCAGCAAACCCTACCAGAGCCCAGGCTGGCAGCTCTCAGTGACAGAAATCCCAGGGAAGAGAGAAATAATTGTGAAATTAAAATGCAAACAGCAATTCCATGGGGGCAGGGAGTGTGTTCACCTCACCTGGCACTTCCATGGAGACACAACTCCATTGCCCAATTTCCCACAAGACCTGTCCTTGTCAGCCCAGACTATTCACACAGGGAAAAAAAATCTGTGCCCAAAGCCAAATTTTGGGGAGTTTTGCCTGGCCTTGACAGGCACTGCTCACCTGGGGCTCAAAGGAACCCTCAGGTGTGGCCCTGCCCTTGAGGAGTGCCACTTACCTGGGAGTGGCACTGGAAGCCAAAGTAAACCACCACGATGGTAGGAAGCAGCACGACGGTGAAAATGACAAACATCAGGAGCAAATTCAGGAGGAAGACCAGGGAGTTCATGGTTCCTATCACCAGGGTCCAGGCCAGGCAGCACCAGGGGCTGCGGGGCTCCCTGGGAAGGAGCTGCTCATCCATGTCATATGGGGGCAGCCCAGGGATCATCCGGGATTTTTCTGACAGGATTTCTGCTCCAAAGTCCTCAGGGTCCTGGCCAGACATCCTTCAAGAAGATCCACCAACCCACGCTCTTATCCGACATCCTTCAAGAAGATCCACCAACCCGTGGAAAAAATATTTCCTCGCTTTTGGTCTAACAGAGCTTGCAAAGGCTTCTTCTGCCTCTTCCACACGTGGGCAGGAGCCCTCAAGGAGAGATCATCGTGGAGCCAGCAAGGAAAGGTCTCCTTGGGCCCCCCAGGCCCTGCTCAGCACAGTTTGCTTCCTTCAGATGCTTTTCCCAGCCTCAGTCCCAAAGCAGATCTGCTGGAAGGTTAGCAGTAGCTTTGATTTTGGTTTAGAATCCAGAATCCTACTGAATTTGCTGTTGTTTTTCCCAGGATTACAATCCCAAAGGGTTGCTGTGGTAGCTGTGATGGGCTGCTCAGTGGGCTTTGGTATCCCCCTCCACCTTCCAGCTCAGCTGGGTGTTCAGGATGGCAGGCTTAGGTTCAGGATTTCAGGCTCAGGTGCTCAGCAGATCAGGCTCAGGTGTTCTGCAGATGAGGCTCAGATGTTCAGAATATCAGACTTAGATGTTCAGGATGTCAGGCTTAGGTTCAGGATTTCAGGCTCAGGTGTTCAGAATATCAGGCTTAGGAGTTCAGGATGTCAGGCTTAGGTTCAGAATTTCAGGCTCAGGTGTTCCAAAAATCAGGCTCAGATGTTCAGAATATCAGGCTCAGATGTTCAGAATATCAGGCTTAGATGTTCAGGATGCCAGGCTTAAATGTTCAGCAGATCAAGTTTAGGCATTCAGCAGATCAGGCTTAGGAGTTCAGGATGGCAGGCTTAGGTTCAGGATTTCAGGCTCAGGTGCTCAGCAGATCAGGCTCAGATGTTCCACAGATCAGGCTCAGATGTTCAGGATATCAGGCTTAGATGTTCAGGATGTCAGGCTTAAATGTTCAGCAGATCAGGCTTAGGTGCTCAGCAGATCAAGCTGAGGTGCTCAGAATATCAGATTCAGCTGTTCAGAATATCAGCTTTAGGCACCCACAGGCAGTTCCTTGTCTTCAAATCACCTTCCCACGCTCTTCACCCTGCACCCAAGCAGATATTCCTGCCCAAGTCTCATGCCAAGGAGGAGAGCAGTGAAGATGAAGGACAGGAGCTGTTTCCCAGCCTCCGAGCCCTGCTGCCCTCCCCGTGCAGCAGAGATGGAGCAGCGTGTGGTGGTGTCACTGCTCTCAGCTGCCTGCAGCCACTCACACCCAGCAGTGAGGTCCCTTCTGAGCTCAGCTTTGCAAGGCTGCTGTGTTTACAGAACAGCCTCAGTGCTCTCTGTGCTGGCCAATCCTTCACATCTGTCTCCCCACTGATGGGATTTAACACGCTCCAAACATCCATCCCCGGGTCAAGATGGTCCCTCTCCACCTTTAATTATTTTGCCTCTGATTCATTTTCTAAAATACCTCTCTAGATTAAAAAAAAAAAAAAAACAAAAAACAACAACCTTAGAGAAATTGATAATAATCACTGTATTCCTCAGAAATCAGCTGTCCCCTGCAGTCATCTTTTATTGTTTGCAGAACATATTGATACTCTCGTGGAGGAGGCACAGCAATTATCAATTATTTCATCTCCCTCATAAGATCAATATTATTTAAGAATTTCAGTGCCATCTCCATGTCTGTGCAGCCTCCAAGATACAGTGGCAGTAATAAGAGAGAGATATTAAAAAATACAGAGAGAAACAACCCCTAAAGCAGACAGCAGAGTGTGACAAGTCCATTTCCATCCTGTTCCTTCCCTGCACTCCAGGGCTGGATGGCTCCCAGGGGGTTTGCAGGGCAGCAGCCTCCACTCAAGCTGCAAAATGTGAAATCTCTTCTCAGATCTGTCCAGACATCCCAGGGGAAATAACTGCTGGATCCATCCTGTTTTCAGTGCTGCACAGGCCAGAGACAGCGTTAATAATAAAATCTGGAGCTGTGCAGGAAACCATAAATGTGACAAGCGGCAGGGAGCTCTGGGAGTCTCGGTGGTTACTCTGCCTGTCTAAATTCTGGTTAGATTTAAAGACATAATATTTTTCAAATTTGATTTATGCCTTTGAAGTGGAAAAAAGGACGAGTCACACAAAGAGAAAGAACCCAAACCCAAATCTATAGGAGGAGAAATCAATTTTAGGCTTAAATCGTGGGGAGATGAACTCAGTGCTGGGCAGCTAAAAATCCTACAGCTGCTTTTACCATCTGCTGGTGATGGCACAGGGTGTGGTGAAACACAATCTGAGCATTCATAAAAGTGCCATAAATTCTAAGAAGCTTTGCTAAATCCAGGGAAACTTTCCAAAGTTCTTTTGCTGTCGTGAAAATGCATTTTAACCTTTTCAGGGAGGTCTGAAAATTGTGTTCTGTGCATTTCTTTTCTAGTGGTTCTTGTAATAACCGAGCCAACTTTGTGTCAGACAAACATCAGTGATATGAAGAAAGATTTCTCCATAATTCTCTGAAATTTCCACATTCTGGACAAGAACTTTCCCAGAAGTGGGGAAGATCTTGATGATGGAGCAGTTTATAACAGGAGCATGATTGCTTCGAGATGCTGGAAGTGGTGATGATTAAAGAGCATCAGAAAAATCCATCAGTTCTCTGACGCCGAGTACTGCTGCTCCCATGGAATCATTTTCTGGCAGCACCATCTTGTGGTTTGCACAGTTCATAAATTTTCAATTTATGTCTCCCATTCTCTAACCCTAACCCTTGCAGGATGCTTTAATACTTGTTATCCACTATGGAATCCTTCCAGCCACTGAAAACAACACCAAATCTGCTCACACTGGTGGCTGGAGCACTGCTGGGGATACAAAATCCCAAATCCCTCACTGAGCTACGGGAATGCACATTCCAAGCAGCCCAGCTCCTTTTTCCAGGGAATTTTGGTACAGCCACACTGTGTGTGCCTGCTCCCAGCTGAGCTGTGGGTTTGGGCTGCTTTGGGTCACACCTCGGGCAGGTGACGAGGGCGTTGTGGTCACATCAGAGGGCTGGGATCAGGTAAAGGTTCTTCAGCCAGAGGGTGAAGGTTTCTGGTGACCTGAGGGAATGGCTGGAGCTGTGTCAGGAGAGGTTTAGGTCGGATTTTGGGAAAGGTTTTTCCCCCAGAGGGTTTTGGGGCACTGACCCACTCCCCAGGGAATGGGCACAGCTCCAAGAGCTCCAGGAGGGTTTGGACAACACTCCCAAAGATGCACAGACTGGGATTGTTGAGTGTGCAGGGCCAGGGGCTGGGCTGGATGATCCCTGTGGGTCTTTCCAACTCAAAATATTTCTTGATTCCACGGCTGTCCTCGGGCTGGGGCAGAGGATGCCCAGCACAGGGAAAAGCCACTGTGCTGTGAGAGAGGAGCCGGGGGAGGCAGAAAGGGCTTGGGAAGACCTGGGAAAAGGGTTGGCGAAGGACTGGGAAAAGGGTTGAGGACAGGGGAAGGACTGGAGGAAGGGCAGGGGGAGGGAGGATCGGGAGAAGGAGGAAAAAGTGGAGGAAGGGCTGGAAGAACGACTGGGAAGGATCGGAGCAAGGACCGGGAAGGCTCGGGGGATGGACCGGGGGAAGAACCGGGGGAAGGGCTGGGGGAAAAACCGGAGGAAGGACCGGGGAAAGGCTGGAAGAAAGACCGCAGGAAGGACCAGAGGAAGGACCGGGAAGGCTCGGGGGCAGAACCGGAGGACGGACGTGAGGAAGGATTGGAAAAAGCACCGGGAAGGCTCGGGGGCAGGATCAGAGGAAGCAGCGGGGCAAGACCCAAAGAAAGCCCGGGAACGCTTGCGGGCAGGATCAGAGGAAGCAGCGGGGAAGGTCCGAAGGAAGCTCCGGGAAGGCTCGGGGGCAGGATGAGAGGAAACTCCGGGAAGGCTCGGGGACAGGATCAGAGGAAGAAGCGGGGGCAGGCTGAGGGAAGGCTGGGCAGGCTCGGGGCAGGATCAGAAGGAGCCCCGGCACTCTGGGAGCAGGCTCAGGGCAGGCTGAGGGAAGGCCGGACAGGCTCGGGGGCAGGATCAGAGGAAGCCCCGGCAGGCTCGGGGCAGGCTGAGGGAAGGCCGGGCGGGCTCGGGTGCCGCCCCGGAAGGAAGGCAGGCAGGCAGGCGGTCAGGCAGGAAGGCGGGCGCCGTGCCGCAGCCATGGTGGTGCTGAGCGCGGCGCGCTGGCTGCGCAGCCGCCTCTCGGATCGCTTCTGGAGGGTGCAGGAGGTGCTCAAGTACGCGCGGGTGAGTGCCGGGTCCCCGGCGTGTCCCCGCATCCCCCTGGCCTGGCCCTGTGCCCCGGGCAGGGTCCCCAAGCCGCTGCCCCATCCCTGCAGAGCCCCAGGCTGGACGGGGTTGGAGCAGGGAGGGGTCCCTGCCACGGTGGGCTCGGAGCTGCCTTTTCCACCCAAACCATTCTGTGCTTTCCTCGTGCTATAAAGCGGTCTCTGTTTAATTAAATACGGCGTTCCTTCACTGTGTTTCCTTCCTGAGTGCTTTTTTTCTTTTTTGTTTTACTGGGCAAAGAAGGTGGGCAAGAAAATTAACCTTGTTCTCAAGTGCATTTTGAGGTTTTTTGCGTTTTGGATTTTTGCTGGAGTTTAAGCTGCTGTGCTGAAGCTAGGGGTGTACCTTTCTCAAGGGCATCCCAGGCTGTATGTTAAAATTCTTTAAATTACATCTTGCTGTAATGAGGTAGAAAAAGCTGAAGGAAGTGAGAATATTTTGGTTTTGCACCAGTAATTCCTGGTGCAGCACCGGCTACATTTTCTTGTAAATTAAACAAATGAAATTTTTTGTTTTCTGTTTGATAAATCAGAGGCTCATGCCCCATCCCTGTGTTCATACAGACACAACAGAGGGGAGCTCAGGAATGAGAATAAACGCGAATTCAGTGTTGGATGAAAGCACTGCCTGTGATTTTGTGATTGCCTTTCCCACAGAACCACGGCACAAAGTGAGGCCTGGTTTTGCCTCTGCTCAGCTGAGATTTTTCCACCCTGCTCCAACTCCTCAGCTTCATGTTTTTCATGA